CTTGAATGTATTGAAATTTTGGTTTACCCTTGTTGATGCTTCGTTTGAACTGACTTTCTATGAAGACTGGTTACTCCTGAGGTTAATACTGGCAAAAAGTCCATTTCAGAAATTTAGATTTTAAAATCACATATATAAACACTGGCAGCACAGGTAAATGCAGAGAAAACACTTGGCGAGGTACCTAATGAAGTATTTTATGAGACACCTACTACACTTACTTATATTCATATAACAAATACCAAACAACTCCTCCTAACTAATTATTAATACATTCATAGTAATTTCTACTCAGACTGTACAGGAATAGATAATCACACTCATCTCCATCACATGACTGAAGACCAAAACTTCCTTCTCCATGAACTCTCTCCACTAACTTTTTCCCCCCTTCCTTCTATCTCTTCTCATTTTTTCCAGTTCTCCCAGAAATGTGCTGCACACACAAAAAATCACACACGTTCTTCTTTATAGGCACACACAAACAAGACATACACTTCTGCCCTATTTCCCAGATACACATTCCCACCCATATACACTGCTGTTCTCTCCCAGGTTCACCAAAGGAGTGCACAAAGCATCCTCACCCTAACGGTTATCATCAGTTTCTCCCTACCACTACAAGAGCAAATTGCATGTGCAAGCTTGGTATGTGCGTGCTGCTTTACCTTCGTCCCTTATCCCCCTCATCAGTAAAAGGCAGTTTTGGGTGCTCTCTATCAGTCAAAAGAAAGAAAGGAGAAAGTACAAAAAACTACAGGCTCAGACACAGAATTGAGTTGCAATGCACGAGCACAACTGCAAAAAACGGCACAGGTGCATTCTCAGCTCAAAGAAAATGTAACATAAGAACTAGAGCTATTTGTCAAACACTTACAATTTAATAAATAAACTAAATATTCCACAGCTCAGCCAGAAAATCTCAAGTAAAAAGATTTTTATTTCAAATGGAATGGTTCATCAGTCAGATCTAATAGATCTAGGTAGCATTTTTTGGACGTGGAGGGGAGGATAACGAATTCAAAAAGTCCTATACTTTACATATAACTCACAGATCTTATCTAGGACCACTGTGTACTGTAATTTTATGGTCCCAGGTTTAAAATTTAACCACCCAAAAGAAAATGGATCAAGTTTCCCTGACTCAGTCTTTTGTCAACATCTACTCAATGATGAAAAAACTCTTATTGTAACTGGGGCCTGAAGAATTTTTTTCAGTCTCAAATTTTATTTTTAGAACCTCAATTTATTTTGTACACAATTTTCACACATTAGTGAATTGCTGACCAATCATAACGGCTCGTTTTTATACTTCTGTTACATCGCGAATTCCAGCTATTTACAGAGAAGAGAAGAAAAACCCAGCAGGTGTCGTTTTTCTAGACACAATTTACAAGGAATAAGAGAATATGACCAAGATATCTGAGCCTGAAACTCTGCAGGAACAAAGTGAACTGCATAGACTAGACAGTAAACTCAGAAGTAAGTCCAAGTTACGATTTGTAAGCTTTCCATATTTTCTTTTCTTTTTTTCCAAGTTGAGTTTCTCCATGTGCCAAACTGTTGAGGGTTTACATTTTATTCCAAAACCCATCAATCTGTGTTAAATTAAAAAAATAAAGCATGGAAATGTGCCCCTTGTCTTCTTTTAAGAACCTAAAGTTACACACAAACGCACATGAGAACACTTAATGTGGATAGGCAATGGTTTGTTTCGATCTACTCGCACAGATTCAACCACTTAAAATTAAAACGACGTTGAAATAACATAGTGCTGCTAAAATAGGTCTGCAAATAAAATATTGGATCTCTAGTTACACTGCATGCATTCGGTCCATTACTCTGGGGTACTTGGGAACCCTAAAATCAGCTTCCCCTCGAAAATGCAATTGTCCCTGGAAAAAATTCAAAGTGCAACATTGACAACTCTTGCTCCTGTACGACTCCTGTCAGGTACCCCATGCAAAAAGCAAAGCCAGCATGAAACTCCCATGATGTCTACTCAAGTGTCCCACTGAGGACCTTCCCACATTAACACAGCCATTACTCTTCTAATTTGCACTGAGCGAGGAACAAAGAAAGGTTTGCAAAAAGCGCATTTGACTCCACGCTTTCATTGTACAGTGAGAATGAATTTATCCATGTAGGGATCCATCCATAGTATCTAACAAAGAGGAAATACAGACATTTTCTAGATCCAAAAGCACAACCCCCTGACAACGCAGTGTCGCTGACTCACAGCGAACCTGCACAGCCTGAAAGATTCCCCAAGCGTGAGGGACGGGGTACGTGCAAAAAAAAAAGTGATAATCAGCGACCCGAGTCCGTTTGCCCAGTCTGAATGGCACGGGGCCGGGCCCCTGGTGCACACCCATGTCTCCAAAACTTTTCTAGGCTTTTTTGGTCATTTTTAGCATCAGCGCATTATAAATCTGGAAATCTTCTATTGCACTACAGAACCTATTATTCTGTATTGCCTTTAAAGCTATTGGAGAATACTGAAAGTCAAGCAGAAGTGGATAACTAGATAGCTACACTTCATCTGTTAAGAAAGGAAAAGGGAAAAAAAACAGACCTGGAAGGCCGGCTGCTGGCTGAAGCGCTGGGCTGGGACTCAGCAGTAGGTTTTATTTCTGATTCTTCACCACACCCAATTCCCTCCCCAAAGAGTGAGAATAATGGCGGGTCTTCCTTACTCTCCAAAACTGGTCTATTTTTTTTTTGTTTGTTTGTTATCAGGGACAGTTTCCCAGCAGGCGACTGCAGAGTACATCGCACACAACGGGACCCAATAATCCCACTCAATGCTCTGGGAGCTACTGCGGTAACAAGGACGACGTCTAATGGTGAGGTGGCTCCACTGCCAAAGCGGATTAAAAAAAAAACAACCCTGGAAACACCCGCACTCACCTGGGTTTTCATTGTTCCCTTTCGTACAGACATGAGCCCTATGCAGCCTGTGTGCTTCGGCGGGCCCTGCCCAGGTGGTGCGGTCACCTCCGGCTCCTGAGCAGCCCCTCCGCAGCCCCAGCGGAGCCGGGCAGTGCGGCTGGCGGTGCCTCTGTGAAAGCGTGTTTAACGAAGGGCAAAAACGCCAAAGCACTGAGGAGCGAGGGGGAAAAAAATGTGAGAGCGCGCCCTGCAAACAGCCAGGTCAGGGCCGAAGGAGGGGAGAAGGTGCTCCGGGAGCCGGAGCGGAGATTGCCCTGCAGCCCACAGGGAGACCCCGGGGGAGCGGGTGGATATTCCCTGAAGGAACGGCGGCACCTGCAGAGCTCATGCTGGAGCAGATTTTTCCTCAAGGCATTGTCACCCATGGGAGGGACCCATGCCGGAGCGGGGGAAAGGAGCGGCAGAGAGAACAGAGCACAAGCCCCATCCCTCTGCACCCCTCGGGGGGACACAAGAGAAAAAGGAGGGAAGCTGAGTTGGGCGGGG